GACTTTTTATTAAAGAGCTCAAGTTTGTCCACCCTTAGAGGAAGTATACCTCGGTGTGCGCAACCTAACCTCCCCTAAAGGAATGTCAGAGAGCACTGAAACCCACTTACCCCCCATTTAATACTGAGTCCCAATTACGTGTAAGCCCGCTGTGAAAGTGCTGGGGTACAGAAACAACAGACTGCAGCACCCTTTATCAGAAGAGATAAAATGCAATCATTGTGCAAGGAGGTGGTTCAGGTGCTCAGAAACAAGTCCACACAGTAGGGGCCCCCAGGGGGGTGCATGCTCAATTCTTCCCAGGCTTTCTACAGGAAATGGCCATGTTGTTGAGCCTTGAAAGATAAGCAGGTTAGCACCATGCAGAAAAGGGCAGATGTCTATAAAACAAGGCCCCCAAAGCCTGGGATTTCCAAACATACCCACCCCTCCTCATGAGGTATGCTGGAAAGAATAACAGACCCAAAATCATGGGACTGGGTTTTGATCTCAGATCTGGCCCAGTTATTTGTGTGTCCTTAGATGAGTTGCTGTCACACCTTCCTGAGCCCAAGATGAGGGAAATTCAGCAGCAGTGGGCTTGATTTTGCTTCCAAAGTGGTCACCATGCTTGCCCTTCCTGGACCACAGTTCTCCTTCACCTGAACCCCATTCAGCTCAAATCCCACACCTCCTCTAGGGCTCCTTGGAACCCAAGCTGTCAAGTATCCTTTCTCTCCCTCAAATCTTGGCTCTGCTAACCAGGCACCCCTCAGGGTTGGATACTGCCCATGGTCCTCAGGGTCTCTGGTTTGCAGTCCTTTTCTTGCTGTCCCTCCCTCACTAGCCCTTCAGCTCCTGGAAAGCTGGGAGCACAGGCCCTGCCCAGGCCCTGAGAAGGGTGGGTGCTCCACAGAAGGCTTATGGATGAGGCTGGATCAGCACTCCTGTTAGATGTGATTTGACCAGCAGGGCCACACTCAAGGTATCTGGGCACTCAGCTCTCTCTAGCAACAGGAGCCAGGAGTGGGAATCTAGATTGCCACAGCCTTAAGGATGGGCCAGACTTGGGCGCTATTTGCCAGCTCAAAGTACACTTGAGATTAGAGAGGCCTTGGGGAGGCAGCACAACAGTGAGTACTGCAGAAAGAGGAACTGCTGCTGTGGGCTGGCTGTCCCTGAGGCATCCCATCTGGCTAGCCATTCCATCTTGCCTGGATTTGGTGACTGAGGGACTGTATGCTATGGGACCAGGAGTTGGCCTCCAAACCCCTCTTTGCTGGCTCATGCCAGTTCCCCAGAGACAGTGATCTCCAGAATTAACAAAGAAGAAGAGGGAAACAAACATCTCGTGAGCACCCGGTCTGTGCTGGCACTTTGCTAAATATGCATACACATTTAATCCTCACCATAACCTTCAAGGTGAATATTGTCATCTCTGTTTCATAGATAAAGACACCACGGCCAACAAGGGAGGCAGCCCCATCTCCAACAGCAGAAGCAAGAAGCCCTACAAGTCATTCAGTGTCAATGGCAAACTGTGGACTTCTCTCCATGCTGGTGGAAACACTGACTACATAGTAGAAAAAGGAATTAAACAGGAAGTTCTGGCCAGGGATCAGAACCATCCCATGATGGCTCTGTCACCAGCCCCTGCCCCCAAGCAGAGACACTTAATACACTGGACAAAGCTCAACATTCCAGCTCTATTGCTGGGAGTCAAGTGGCATCAGTGTTGGAGACACTGGGCCTGGTACCAACTGGTCCAGCCTCCACCCTTGCTGTCCAGCAAACAGAGCCACTGACTATTCAAAGAAAGCTGGGCTGAATTTTTCTTCTGTGCAAAGCAAAAGATCCCATGGGGTGGGAAGAGAAGACAACAGAATCCCAACTCAGGGCACCTTCCCCATACAGTTTTCCTAAAAATAACAACAAATAACCTTTCTACATAGAATTCTGAACCTTCCAGAATATATCTACACTCACCTTCTTCTCCCCATGAGACCCTCTTCCAATTTGAGAAGTATGCTCTTGGCAGGTGGGCAGGTCATGGGTTTCTGGACTAATGATAAAACAAGTTACATAGGACTGACAAGGGAGAGACAAGGATGTCCAGTTCTAGTGTCTTCTTTGCAACAGACCACAAGTTCAACTGCAGACATGTCATTCCCAGCTTACATATAGTTATATACGGTTTAATTCCCTTGCTAACAAACTCTGGTTTCTAAGTGTAAACCACAATGATTGCTTTCATTGTCACCAAATAACAACAGCTGACATTTATCAAGCTCTTTTTCCAAGCAACTGCTATGCTCAGAGCTTTACCTACATCAGCTTATTTAATCCTAGCAATACTGTGAGGTAGGTACTATTATCCTCATGTTACATAGGAGGAAGTTGAAGCACAGAGAGGTTAAATAACTTGCACAAGAGGAAATGGGATTCAAATTATATTGCCGGAGCCCAGTTTCTTAACTATTCATACTGACTCTCAAAGTCCAGGAGACCTTGCTCCAAAAGAAATAAGGTCTAGAGCAAAAAAAAATTTTTTTTTCTTAAAGGCAGGGACCAGGAAAAGAGTCCCAGGCTGGATGCTGCTGTCCATTTGGTCACAGGTGGTATAACATAGTTAATACTAGCTAACATTTACTGAGTACTTACTATGTATCAGGCACACAGGTAAATGCTCTATATGCATTATTTAATAAAGCTATAATTTTTAGATTTTATTACATATAATTCTATGAATATTATTTATATTTATTATAATTTATTTAATGAAACTATACAGTTTGCAGCCAGGGATACTGAGGCTTAGAAGAGATTAAGTAACTTGCCAAGCTACTAGAGCAGCCAATATATAAACTCTTTCTGACAGTCTGGATTTTTACCAATAATGTGTTATCGGGCTCTGATGGTCCAGATGATAGTGCTTAATTTCACTTCCAGAGTCCTCGGACCATCCCTGCCTTACTGCCTTTTCTCGCCAGAGCCCTGCCCAGGCTGAGAACTCCAGGTTGGGTAAGTGGAGAGCTGGAGAGGGGCCTCCACATCATCCCTTCACCACCCAGTGGCCTGGAAGGGGCTCGATGGACCACCAAGGATCACTATCCAGTTCCTCCTCCTCCTCCTGGGTTACTCAGAGAGCCTGGAGGGAGAAGGGGAGTTCACCACACACTCCCCGAGTATATAGAAAAAGTCCCCCCAACACACACCAACTAAGTTGGGGCCTGTCTGTCCACAGCTGTATGTTCATCCACAGCTGTATTTTTATCTTAAGACTCATCCTGCTGACTCAAGCTCCATTTTCTGAGCACTTTTAGAACAGAGTCCTGGCTCCAAGACAGGACTTGGGGGAGGAGATAAGGGAGGAATGAGGGGATGGGACCGATCCAACAGAAGGGCCTGTGACCTCAAATTATGTCCCCACTTATCCCTTATGTTGCTCTATGAGTTTTCTCAGTCTTCCCACGCAGCCTGTACTTTTTGAGCCCTATCCATCCTACCGCCATGTGCCAACCCGTTCCCAATGCCTTGAGCAGGTGAGTCCACAACAAGGCTGTCTCTGCTCTGAATGGAGATCTGCTAAGTGCATCAGAAAAGGCAGCCAGAGGCTCCCAGGACCTTACCCTCACCCCTGAGCAAAGCTTCCAGGAGCCCAGCATGGGTCGCTCTGGGCCCTGGTCTACTGGCAATGCCCGCCTGCAGACTCCAGGACAGTAAGACAGCAGCTAGGCTCCTCTTAGTCCCCACTCCACCGGGATCAGGTCTGTGTAACAGCTGAAGGGCGAATCCTCTCTAGGTAGCACTCACCATGCCAGCCCCTCCCTACCCCCAATTCCGGCCCCTTGGGAAAAGAGGAAGCGTGGGGGATGCGCCTGGGAGAGGGGGAAAAGCTGAGCAGGTCAGGAGTGCCCGTCAGGAAGATGGAGGCTGACTCACAGGTCAAGGGCAAGAGCAACTCACAGGACTCCAGGGCCTGGGGGAACGGGAGACGGGGGAAGGACTGATCTTCACCCAGGAGAAAGCCTGCAGGACCCGGGGCTCCCCCGGCAGGCACGCCGCGGCCTGAACCTAGAGCTCTAGGAAGCTGCACGGGCACCCAGGGCCCACGTCACACCTGTTTGCTGCTGGAGAACTTACTAACCCCAGCCGAGCCCAGGAGCCCGGAGAAGACAGCGGCCTCTCCTTCCTCCTCCCCAGGGGGATAGCCGAGACTGTGAAGGGGACACAGGGACACAACTAGACACACACACACACGCGCCGCCCAGCCCCAGCTCTCTGCCCACGGCCTCGCCTCAGGACGAATGTCCGAAGGGGCTCAGTCGCCTTCCGTCCCTCCATAACCCCGTCTCTCTTCCCCAAGAAAGCCGGGCCGGCCCGGGCGCCCCGCGGCTCCCCGGAGTCCCGGGCTGTGCGCGCCGCGGTGACTCATCCCGCCCCTTTCCGGTGAAGCCCAGACAAGGGAAGAAAATAAATGCAACTTTCCAAAGAAAACTCCGACGCGGGAGGCTGCCCCGGGGGCGAGCGGCCGGTCCGCAGCCGTCTGCCGGGCCCGGGGTTCCGGGCAGGGGCGGCTGCCCGCCCACGCCGCCGGCC